CCTTTTAAGCTTAGAACACATAAAAAATCTATTACGAAATAGCATTTCCATAGTTTATTTTTGTCAGATGTTCAAAATTGCTCTTTTACTCTAATTAGACCTTTTAAGCTTAGAATACATTAAAGAAATCTATTATGGAATAACATTTCCATGGTTTATTTTCGTCAGACAGATTCAAAATTGCTCTTGTACAAATTCTTCCACCTTTCTTCATACTTATTTTCTTGTATTATTTGTAAACACCCCTAATGCTCTTGATTCTGTGAAAGAAAAAGGAACTTTTACAGCTTTTTTTTGTGTTGAAGCAGAAAGGGGATGGTTATTTTTTTGGAATCTGTCTGGAAGCTTTGTTTTATCAGCTCTTTTCTGAGCTCCTCTCCTGAAGTTCTGGCTGGGAGGTTCTGGGCACGATTTTTGTTAATGAAAAAAACCAGAATGGGGTTCTGTGAGCAGAATGAATCCCTGGATTTATTGGGATTTCCAGGATTCCAGTGCTGGGGGTGCTACTGGGTGGGGTGGCTGAGTGTCCCTGTGGGGGGATTGGTGCCACCAGGTCCTTCTGGATTTTGGGAAGGATTATTTTGTTTGCTTAGGCTGTGACAAGTCCCAGAGCGTTTCTGTCCCACACAAATGCTGTGTCTGAAGGGAGGGGGGTGACTCTGCCCCCCAGCCCCACTCCTGCACCCCAGGAATCCTCACAGAGCATTTTGGGGGCAGGCAGGGGAGCAGGCAGGCAGGAATGGTGCCCTGCAGCCAGGGACAGGGGGAGTCCATGGAAATCTTTCCTAATTGTTTTGTTTGTGAAGCTCTGGGAAGGGTTTCCAGTGGGTTTCCTAATGAACTGCTTTGTTGTTGATACCAGTAATTACTCTGCAAACAGGGGGTCAAGGCTCATCTTCTTTCCCACAAGCTTCCAAACACCAACCATTAAACACACAAACTATGCAGTTTGGGCTTTTCTTCCTTTTCCTCCTCAAAGTTGAACTCCTCACTTACAGAATTGCTGCCATTCATCTTTCAGGAGCCTGCTTAGACTGGCTGAGTGCAAGGAAAAGGAAATGGAGCCCCAAACTGCTTTTTCTTCTGTCCTGTTGGATCCCAATTGCACACTTGTAATATGGGAATAAACTGGATTGCTGCTGCTTGGAAGCACTGATTATACTGGGGGCTTGTTTCTCCCAAAATTGAATTTCTGCTCTGTGCTGGGAATGCACAGGGAGAAGCTGAGAGGTGTTGTCTGTCTGCTGCCTTTTCCCAGAACCACCCCTCTTTCCCAGCAACCTGCTTTTAGGCTTCATTTTTACAAAAAAACAGGTAGAAAGGCTTTAAGCAAAGATTTTGGTCTGGCATTTAAAAGCTGAAAGAGCTTCAATTTCGAGCATGTTGGGTTTTGTGATGGATAAATTTCCATTAAGGTGAAGTGGGAGGCTCAGCTCAGTCTTACCAACTGCTTTTATCTGAATATGAAGGGTTGTGCCCATGAAAAAATGTAATTTTGGTCACTATTTCTGCGTAAGAAAAAGGCTTATTTTCCATTAACCTCTCCTATGTGATGGAACTGCTGAGGTTCAGTTCAGTGGTAATAGTTGGGAATTGAGGGAAATATCCTCACAAAAGTGTTGCTGAAGGTTGAAGTTGAATGAGTCTGCACTTTTTCATGAATCATTTGATTTTATGACTTCAAGGAGACAGTGATTTTATTTGACTGTTATTTTATAGAGACTTATTTGTGTTTTTATGTTAAAAAATATTGCAAATAAGATAATGGTTGAGCCACAAATTCCCCCCTATCAGTCTTGGAGTTAGAATTGATGGGACAGGGCTCCTGGTGTGGTCACATATTTTACCACAGGCTCCAAATTACAGTTGCAGATAATAAAATAATGAGGAAAGGAAGAATGCTGTGGTTTTAGGCTGGAAAAAGTTTAATTGTGCATTTCCTTACAGTATTTTTCCATGTGCTTATAGTTAATAAAGCCATTAACTTATGGAAAAGGAGAGGTGAGGCTGGGAAAAGACTTCAGAAGGTGGAATAAGTGAAGTTCCTACAGATTTGGTGAATGTGGAAACTCTTCTCTTGTTGCTCTTTTGGGTCTCAGCTCTCCTGTAACCAAAGGCACAGAACTGCCCCTAAAGCTGTTGATTTTTGATTTGTTTTTTTTCCACTCCCATTTTCAGGCCTCGCAGTGGGTCCTTGGAGATGGCAGTTAGGAATATTCTGGTGTTTATTTTGCTGTTTGATCTGTGGCTCTGCCAGCCCTGCTGCTCCCAGGAGTGGGGTCTGGCAGCCAGACTGGGCTGATGGAGGGGAAAGGGGAAGGTGCTGGATGGGATCTTGGAGTTCTTGGAATTTCTCACCTGTCATTTGGACAAAATGTTTCTGTTGCCGTTCAGTCCTGTGCTTTTGGGTGATTGCATCACCCTGAAATCCTTCTCAGGGCTATTGATCCATAGGAATTCTGTGAATTCCCAAACTGGAGCTTTGTGCTTCAGTTTTGTCTCATGTAAAGGAAAAATGAGGTTTCAGATCTCTCCTTTAGTGGTGGTGTTTTAGTGTTGACATGTTCATTTTTTTTTTTTCTATAAAGTTTAATAATAGAGGAATATAAAAGTGTTAGAATTGGAGGGAATTTGGGAGGATATATTCTGCAGAAATTGGGGTAGGGATGCACAGGGCTGGGGGTGTAGGCATAATGTCTTTTAGGAAATACATGTGTTTATGACCACAATGAAACACTTTGAAAGAAATACAGCTCTGTGTATGTGGAAGGGGAAAGGCAGGGACTGGAGTGGGACTGGAGATCATTGCCAGGAAACAACCTTGCTGCTTTTGTCCTGCAGGAATGGAGCAGAGTAGGGAATTTATTGCAAAGGCAATTCCTCACCCTTCTGTACCCTCACCCTCCTCCTGGTCTCCCACATTCTCCCTCTCCAGCTCTCTCACACACATAAGAACATTCCCTTTTTCCAGCTGTACTGGAAGCATCAGCAGGATCCCACTGCTGTCTGAGCGGAGGGTGTGGAAAAATGTCCTTTTTTCCATGCTGGGGATGTGGCTGTGACACAAGTGCAGCAGCTGAGGAAATAGCACTGCACGGTCCAGAAGGAGCCCCAGAGGAAAGAGGCTTTGTAAATTATTCATGCTGGCTGCTGTGAAAGCAATAGAATGAAATTAAAATTGAAATATAAACATACACCACGGTAGATTTGTGGACAGAAAGGAGCTTGGCTGCTGTGGGACGTGGAGGCCACAGTGCCAGTGCTGAGTCCAGCCCAGCAGCATCCCAGAGCTCAGCGTGGGCTTCTCCAGCACTGCCCAGGGGGTGCAGCTGGGGAGCCTCTGGAGCTGCTGGTGGCTGAAAACAGCTCTGAAGACCTCTGGCCCTGAGTGCCTCGGGCTTTGCTGGCAGATTTGAAGGTGTGGGTGTGTCTGTGCTGCACCTCTAGGGTCCAGGTCAGGATCACCAAACACAGAGCTCCCCTTTGAAGCCATTTTTCAGCCTCTAAGGAGGTCAATCCCCAGAGCTGTACTGGAGATGCTCTTCTGCATTCCTCTTTATAGCTCTGCACAGGTGCTTTAAAACTTTCTTAAGGAAGATCTGCTCAGTCCTTCAGGCCAGGATTGATGGAGGTGCTGTGGGAAGCTCCTGCCTGGGCTGGGCTTGGAAGCTTGGGTGCCATCTGTGTTCCTGCTGTGCTGTGGCCCAACTGCATTTCCAGCCTTTCTGGCCTCAGCTGTTTTTCATTAAATGGAGTTTTCCTGAAAGTGCCCATCCATAAATGCTCCTTCCCACTCAGCACACTCGGGTTAGCAACACTGCCCCAGTCCCTGCACAATGAGAAACAGGAGCTGGAGGATGTGGGATGGTGGGGAACTCTACAGGAGGACTCTTCTCTCTCCCTCTCTCAGTGAATTCTCAGCTATGGCCATAAATTATTTAGTGATGGTGGTGAAAAGGGAAGGGAGAAAGGGGAGAAGCAGGTTTAATTTCAGGCACTTCTGCCAAAAGAATGTATAGAATGGTTTTGAAAAAGTGTGAAGGAAGGATGGAAAAAACCCCAGATCAATCCTGCAAAGTGGCTCCAATTACCTCAGCCTCAGCTTGGAGTTGAAAATCAATTTAGTGCAAGCAAAGCTTTGCACCTTAGAGCAGAGCCCCCAAGAGAACTGTGGCTGCAGCTCCCAGAGGCACCTGGGCTGTTCCTGGGTCCTTTTCCATCCTCTGCCTTCTTCTGATGAAGTTTATAAAGGCTCATTCTTTGAGTTCATCAATTCATCAGTGCCCAGGGTGAGAATCCCCTTGCTGCACTCAGTCTGTTGATTCATCACAGCAAAGGGATACATCCAAGGAAAACCACCTTGCAATGGCAGGGGTGTAACTCCAAGTTAGTTTTAATGAGCATATGCCAGTTGAAATGAATAAAGCACATTTTCTCCCACTTAGTGCTTTGGATGCAGGTTATAGTTACTGCAGGGTTTTTATTTCTTCTCTTTTGTGCAGGATTGCTGTGCCATGTCAGGATGTATCATTATGAAGTTTAACTGCCCTGTGCTCTAGGTCAGGCTTTGGTTCCTGTAAGACTTTTCTGAGTTATGAAGTGGTACCAATAATATCTTTTCAGCCTGGAAAACTCTGCCAGACAGAGGCTGATGGAGGGAACACGGGCTTGAGGGCAGACTCTGACCTGGGCTAGACCAGACAGAGTAATTGTGTCTAATGCCTGCAGCACAGGACTCGAGCAGTGCCAGTCCTAGGAGGCTTTGGCTTGTTGGGGAGCTTAGAGGGAGAGCAAAATCATTGGGAAGGAGTTTTCCACTAGCCTTGGAGAGTATTGGAGTGGCAGCTGGTTTTCCAGGAGCAGGTAGAACCGAGGCATTGCCAGCACTGCACAGCACAAACAAACTGGAAGGGTTTCCTTCCAGAAACGCTCTCTAGGCAGCTGTGGGAGAGCTGGTTTCCCTCTGAGGCCCCTGGTGACGTGTGTGGGGTCTCTTGCAGTGCACGTGCCGCAAGGACATGGTGAAGATCTCCATGGACGTGTTTGTCAGGGTGCTGCAGCCCGAGCGCTACGAGCTCTGGAAGCAGGGCAAGGACATCGCTGTCCTGGACCACATGAAGCCCACGGCCCTGAGCAGCCCCGAGCTCGACGCCTGGAACGAGACCAAGGCAGAGCTGAAGGCAAAACTGCTCCGCAGGTAAAGACACACAGTGGCTGAGCCCTGCCCTGGAGTTTAACTGCTGAGATTGTAAATGCTGCACTTCTCCACTGGAGATACTTCAAACTCCTTTATTTTCTTCTTTGTGTTCTTTTCGTACAGTTCCTCGTGCCATTTGTCTGGGGTAATGTGTCCCTCGTGGTCCTGTTTCCTTCCCATGTTATAAGAGCACATGCTTTTCAAAGTGGGACACTTTATGCTCCCTCACATCTCATCTCTTATCCTGGAAGACAAAAAAATCTATAGTGAACATTTAGAGCTTCTCTGATCAGAAAGCAGGAGTTTAAAAAAGCCCATCAGTTGCAAAGGGGATTTTATGCATGCCTTTCTGTGATTCCTTTAATCTTTGTATTAATTTTCGAGAAGTCTATGATTTTTGTGTGTTACAGCATGCTTGAATTGAAAATTTGGCATGCTAACCTTTTCCTGTTGGAATCTTGCTTTATAGGATAGGAGATGAGGAAGAGGACAACAAACACCGGTATGTGACTTCCCTCAGCAACGTCAATCCCTTCATTCTTTTTCCTGGCAAGTTTCTTAAATAGCAGCTCTGGGATTCTTTTCCTCAATCACTGAGTTTTTTGTGAAAACCCCCAGGAAATCTTCAGGCCTTGAGGTTCCTCAGGTTTCATCTTGGTTTGGATTTCTGTGATCTCCATCACTGGAGAACCTCAACTGTCTCATGGCTCTTCTGGTTTTCCCTCTTGAGCTGCTCTCCTGGGCTGGCAGGGATGTGTGGTGGTAACTGGGGGTGGGGAAAGGGAACTGGTCACTGATAGAAGTGCTGCTGCAGTTTTGGGACTGTTCAGGGTTCCTGGTGTAGCTGATGTGCACAGTGTAAGGTACTGTATCAACACCAAGGATTATTTTCCTCCCTGAGCCTATTACCCAGCAGAGAAGCCTCTCTCTCTGCCTCAGCCTATTGCAAAAGATCCAGGTACTTTTTTTTGCTTATCTATTCAGTGTTCCCTGGATTATTCCAGCATTATCCTGAAGCAGTTTTGAAGCTGTTCAATACTCCTTAGCTGTACTTTCTCCTGTGCTTATGTCTTTCCAAGACATCGTTTTACTTGAAGCCTGACTTTTCTCAGCAGGATGGAGGGATGGGATTCACCTCTGCCCAAACCTTCACAGTTGTAGCTACTTAATTTAAGTCACTTTGTGGTCTGTTCTTCAAAGAGTACAAACGCTGCTTTTTTGTCAGCCCTCTTGGAAAAATAGAGCTTTTAAACTCTGCAGAGAGGTGTTATTTCTTCTCTAAGGTCAGTCAGACTTGGTTACCTTAAAAAACCCAACTTTGTTTACTTTATGGCTTCAGCAAGAGACTGTTTTAGTCCAGTCCCCATTTCATTTCTGGTGTGTGAATTCTGTCAGACACAGAACAGCTTCACTTCTGGAAGTGCTCAGCCTTCAGCCTGTAGTTCTGGAAGCACTTTCTTTAAATGCTGAGCTTTCTGCCTCTCTCCCCCACAACCCCTGAATGAGAAGAGCACTGCAAAACAGATCTTTTTTTCTCTCCTGTGAGTATAAAGCTCTGTGCTGTAATTTTTGCCTGGCACTTCCACACCACAGGAATAAAACACACTTTGCTAAAACCAGCTTGTAACACTTGACTCTACTCCTCCTTCAGCCACAGAACGTTCCAGCTGCAGTGGCAAAAATCTTACAGCTTTATCTTCACCTCCCACCCTACATTCCCCTCCCAGGGAAGGTGGTGTGTTCTTGGAATATGGGTGAAGAGCAGAGCTGATCCTTCTGGGCTCAGCCCCTGTTCCTGCTAATGACTGTCCTGCAGGTGTGAAGGCACCAGCTCTTCTTGGAGGGCCACCATCTGCTCAGAGTCTGGCAATTAGACATCCCTGTGCATATGGATCAACTTGCTTTTCTATTCATCATTCATCTCAGGTTGATTTTTTTTCTCCCTTCTTTGTCAGTTTAAAGGCTCTTAACTCTGTTCTACTCCAAGTGGAATTAGCAGCTGAGTTTTTTGGGCTCTGAGGATAGGGAGCTGCTTTTTAGTTTTTCTAGACTTTGGGACCGATGAGTAAAGTGTGTTTTAGTCTTTGTCACACGATGATGGACGTGAGGCCATAAGGAAAATGCAGCTTTCAACCAAAGAAGAAATGCCTACATGCTAAAAATTGGGCAAAAATCACAAGTTTCTTGATCAATTCTTTTGGAAAAGGACAGCTTGTTAGATTTAAACCTGCAATTCAATGAGCAGTTCTACAGATTCTGTAAAGCCTTGTGCTGGGGCTGGCTGGGATGGAGTGACTGGGATTTGGGGCTGCACCAGTGCTCATAAGGCTCTGAAGTTTTGGCTGTTGCTTGCACAGTGTCAAGGCTTTTTCTTGTCCCACTCTGGGGGTGGGTGAGAGGTGGGGAGGGGACCCAGCTGGCCCCAAGTGGCCAAGGGGAAATTCTGTGCCATAAAATGTTATGGGGAGCAATAAAAATTGGGAGAGAGGAGGAAGGAGGGGTTTGGCTTCTGAGGTGCCTTTTTTGGGGACTGGCTGGGCATTGCTCTGCCTGGGGAAGTGGTGAGTGGATTTCTTGGACTTCTTTCTTTCTTTCTTTCTTTTATTTTTTATTCTTTCCTTCACCTATTAAACTGCATTTGTCTTGACTTACAAGTTTCTGGTTCTTCTAATTCCAATTTTCCCTCCCTGTCCCTCTTGAGCAGTGGGGAGTGTCTGTGAGGGTACAGTTCCCAACCCAAATATCTTGTCCTGACTTCTGAATTTCCATTTCTCTTTGCATTGTGGCTCCTGTAATCTTTGCCTTAGTGGCATTGACTTTAAAAAGAATGAACAGCATTGCTATTGCCTTGTTAGTATTTGTCTGTTCTTATTAATATACATATTTTTTAGTTAAATTTCTTCAAGGCTTTGGACCTTCTGGATTTACTGCTGAAAAATCATAGACTGCCTATTGATTTTGCTCTGAGCATTCATTATAGTGTGTTTTTGGGAACTGGCAGTGCTGGGTAATGTCTCAGAGCTGGAAGATGATGTTTTGCAGACTTCCAGCAGTTTGCCAAAGGGAGGCACGGACAGAATGAAAAGAAATAATGGAATGGAGGCAGAGGATGAAAGAGAGATTTAAACAAGTTTTCATCTGTATTTTGAAATACAAGCAAAATAGATTGAAAACACAATTAAAATCACTTTAACTGCATCTTGTGAGCCTACATTAGTAACGGTAGGAAAAAGCTCTTCAGGAAACCCAGACAATTAATGGCTGCTGTGAATGGATCTTAAATGTTGTGTTATGCAAGGTTCATCTGCTCCCTTTCAGATATCTCTTTTGCCCTGTAGCTATTTTAGCTACCTTGTGTTTTCTCTCCAAAGAAGATCCTTTTGTTTTTTACTCAGCTTTTTAAGTCAGTGATGGTTTTCTATTTTGAAGGCTCTTCTTTTATGTCAAATCACACTTCTGTGCTTTCAGGTCTCACAGAAAAAGGAGTCAACCCAGAAGACACAAAACAGAGGATCAGAAGTCTCTTGGGGATGTCATGGCTATTGAAACTGCCTTGGAAGATGTGAAAGTAAAAGAGGAGCTGAAAAGGGGGCCGGATCTGGAGGAAGAGGAGAGAAGCAAAGGGATGGAGGGAGAAGGTGAGGCCAGACCAGTGAGGGGCTGGGGTGTGCTCTAAAACACCTCTGTGAATAATTTGTCTGCTGCTGTTGGTTTCTGTTGAAAAATCAGCAGTTTTCCCCAGTATTAAAAACTCACTGAAATATGTCATCATTCACAGCAGCAATTGATTTTTCCCTCTCTTTAAGGGTTCAATCCAAATAGCTTTTTTGGCAGGGCTTGAAAATTCTATAGACTCAAACTATTACAGGATTGTAAAAAATATATATTATGTGAGGAATATTTGAAATTATTTCATAGAGAAACAAATAGATGTATTTTTGTGTCCTGCTCTGAAGAAGAATGATTTGTGCACTGCCTTGTGCAATTCCTCTTTCCTTTTCCCCTCCCTTTTCTCCCATTTTTCAGAGACTGAATCCAGAAGCCTCAGTTGGGGTGGGATCCACAGCTGCTGCACGAGTCCCACTTGGATTTCTTCAAGTTTAGCTGGAGCAGGGAAGCTTTTCAGCTTCCTCTGCATGAAATATAAAACCTTTACTGAAAATAAAACCAGGCCATGACAACTCCCAGTCCCCAGCCCTGAACACACCCTTTGTGCAGGGGGCTCTTTCTGTGGCACCTTTTTCTTGGCTGTGTAGAAAAGGTTGGAGTTGTTGCTGGGAAAAAGCTGTTTTTCCCCCCCTGATGTGTGGTTAAGTGGTTTTTGTGTCTGTGACACACTCACTCCCTCTTTGAGGCTTCTGCAGCACTACTTACTAGGGAATTAATTTACATCTATTGTATATATCCATTATTTGTTTAGCATTTGGAGAAACTGATGCTGCAAACTGTTTAGAGAACCTCAATAATGATCTTAAAGGAAATCTGTGGAAGCTCTGGGAAGAGAATTGAGGGCTTTGTTCAGTCTCTCAGCTAGACAGTGTATTTTCTCTTTTCATGAGAAATAAGGAGTTGGAAAACCATTGTTGCACAGTGCAGATACTTAATTTCTATTGCCCTAAGCTTGAGAGCATCAGCAATGTGTTAAATTGTCTGCTCCTAGCTCTTGTACAAGTTTAACACTTGATGCTTGTAATAAATGGCCCAAAAATGCTGATTTTTCTTTGGAGACAAGAGATAAGTGACAAGGACAGATCTGAGATCATTAGAATGGCTAAGGAATAATGAAAACTCTGTTCTAGCTGAATGGCTTCCAAATCATACACTTCCACTACTTCTTAAGAGCTCTGTAACTGTTGGCTCAGGAGAGAAAAGCTTATTTTCAGCACCACTGCAGAAGTGCCACTGGAGCAAACTCCAGCTTTGTGTGGCTGTTCACAAATATTCCACTTTCCTACTGCAATACAGTAATTAAATCCCAATGACTTCTCTCGTTTTCCACATCCTGCTGTCTACATTGCCTCTCACCAGTGTCTTAGGGTTTCATCTCGAAGAAGAAAACAGCATCTGTTTGGATGGCCCTGGTAATTCTGCTCCCCCCCACCTCCTGCACTTCCTTTTTATCTCTCTGGTTTTAATTTGACTTCATTTTCTGTTACACCAGAAGACATGACCTTGAGAAGGAGAAAGGATGAGATTTCAAAGTAGTCACGGTTCCAAAGTAGGTCTTGTGCTTTGTGTTGGTTAATTTGGACAAGCTGAGTATTTATAACTCGAGGTTTTCAGGATTTCTGACCCAGATACCTTATGGTGTTTACTTTTGGTTTTTATGACTCAGCTTTATATTCATAATTTATTATGTTGCTATTAATACATTTAGAATTTTAGCAGGTTGTCTTGGGATGTTAGGAAGGAGAATGTTGAGGCTTTGCCCTTGTCTGGGTGTGCTGAGCAGCAGAAATCCTCCTGTGAGTCTGCCCTGTGGGGCTGTGCCCGGGAGGGGAACTGCAAACCTGAGTGCCACCTCCAGGGTTGGGGGCTCCAAACCTCCCTGGACAGCTCCTTCCAAGCCCTCCCCACCCTTTCCAGGGAGGAATTTCAGTTTCCAGAGGTCTGTTGAGGATTCAGATTGTCCCTGGGCAGGCAGCACAGCACTGCCACATGTGTTCCTTGTGTCACCTTGTGCCATCTGCAGTTCCTTGTGTGCCACCCACACCTGCCATCCTCCTGGAGTGGAAGGACAGCAAAGACTTTTAACCTACCTGTGCATGTGTGCCTTCAGATCCTTTTCCTTCCTGGAAGCATTCAGGATAGCCACATAGGCTCTTGGAATTTTTCCTCCCATTTTCCTGGCTTCTGATTCCATAGATTCACTTGCAAACCCGTTTGTTCATCTTAATGCAAAAACTTTCAAGCACAGTTCTCAGTGCCAGCTGCTGTCAAATTACCCTTTAGAAGTCAATAAAGCTGGTGAATGGCATTTGTGGTGCTGTTGGGGAGAGAATTCTTGGAGTGTATAGAGAGTAAATGTGATCTGGTTTTGTGCAACTGGGGAGAAATCCAATTTGCCTTTCATTCAATATGTTTGTTTCTCTAAGGAAATTCAATATTCCTTTCTCTGTGATAGAACAAACCAGTTTATTTGAGGGACTGCCTACATGAGTACAACAATAATTATTTGAGCTGGACTTGTTCCCATTTCTATAAGTTAGTGTAAATAAAGTGATCAGACTTCTGGGAGATGCTCGGGTTAAGGTGATCCCTGGGGGATTTAATCAGGGATTTTGGCTCTTTATCCTACTGTGGGATTATTCGCCCTTCTTCATGCAGAAACTTCTATTATGTGATGGTTATTCTGATTTTCCATTCATGAGTTGGGCTGGTTTGGTTTGGTGTAGCCTGAAGTGGAGGGGTTGGGGTTGGTGGAATTTCTTCACTAGGTTGAACAAGTTGTCCCTGATTATCCCAACCTGGAGTCTCCCCCTCAGTGGAGAGCAGGAATTTTAATCACTGCTGTAAAATGGGAGTGTGTGACTCCCTTCACAGAGAAGAGAGGTGGGGAAGACTTTTACAGGCCAGTTCTGCCTCTGGTGACAATACTGAGATGTTTATCTGCTCAAGAAGTGTTGTCACATCCATGAGGGCTGTGCAGATAAACTGACTGACAGGGAGCTGGGAGAAACAAGGACATGGGTGTGAGTAAAACATATCTCAGGATCCAGCTGAGCTCCGTGCTGCACCTGATTTATGCTTCAAAAGCATTTTTAAAAAAAGCTTGATAGCAGAAATCTTTGGGTAATAATGATTCAAGTATCTTTGTTCAGCTCTTCATTTCCTGGGGCTGTTGGGTGCATTGACACACAGTAATACCCAGATAAGAGCTGTGCTTGCAAACACAGGGAACAGCAAACTCCTGATACAGAATGGGGTCTCCAAGCTCTTTTGATTGCACCTCCTTATCAGCACAAAAAAAAAAAAAAAAAAAAAAAAAAAATCTGAGCACACATCCTGATGTATGTCTTTATTTATATACACATTTATTCATATATAGCACAGAAGTACACATGTACACATGTATTTCTGTGCTAACATGAATATACAGAAAAACAGAGATTAGAAAAGGAAGGCATAAAGATAAAAAAATACTGTTTAAAATATTTATTTTATTAATGGTACAAAAATATTTAATTCCTGCACCCCAGTGGATGGTTTTGTGCCCCTGACTTTGGAGGACAAAAAACTTGAAGCACAGAGTCATGGCTAATGTGACATATTACAGGTTTTTTTGGCACACTGTCCAGTTCCCTAGGGATTTAGATATTTTCCCTCCAGGAAACGCTGCTTTTAGCAGCCTTTGTGCTCCAGTCAGGAATTTAATAGTCCATAGAAATGACAAAAGTATTTTCTTTCTGAAGTGGCTTCTCTAGGTCAGTGCTGAGACACCACTGAATGTGTGCAGCTTTCACAGTGCCCGTTGGAAAGCAATAATTCCATGGTGGAATGTGCTAGTCCAGGACTGAGCTCTGGGAAGGGAGAGGAAGCAATATTCCATGGTGGAACGTTCTAGTCCAGCACGGGAGAAAGAGAGAGAAAGCAGTAATTCCATGATGGAACATGCTAGCCCAACACTGAGCTGTGGGAAGGGAGGGAAAACAATAATTCCATGGTGGAACATGCTAGTCCAGCATGGAGCTCTGGGAAGGGAGGGAAGTGCTGAATTCCATGGTGGAACATGCCAGCCCAGCATGGAAGAAAGAGAGAGAAAGCAGTAATTCCATGGTGGAATGTGCTAGTCCAGCACAGGAGAAAGAGAGAGAAAGCAGTAATTCCATGATGGAACATGCTAGCCCAGCATGGAGCTCTGAGAAGGGAGAGAAATGCTGAATTCCATGATGGCACACGCTAGCCCAGCATGGATCTCTGAGAAGGGAGGGAAATGCTGCATTCCATGATGGAATTTGCTAGCCCAGCACTGAGCTCTGGGAAGGGAGGGAAATGCTGAATTCCGCTATGGCACCACTAGCCCAGCATGGATCTCTGAGAAGGGAGGGAAATGCTGAATTCTATGATGGAACATGCTAGCCCATCACAGAGCATGAGAAGGGAGGGAAATGTTGAATTCCACTATGGCACCACTAGCCCAGCACGGAGCTCTGGGAAGGGAGGGAAATGCTGCACTCCCAGAATTTGGCATGGGGACTCAGTGTCACCTTTCTCTCCAGCAGAGAGCAAGGCCAAGGCGCGGCCCCCGAAGGCCAAGGGCGAGCGGAAGAAGAAGCAGCTGTTCCCCCCTCAGCCCCCCGTGCCGCCCCCGGGGCCCATCCCAGCCCCACAACCACCTCCCGAGGCCGGCCCGGGGGCGGCACGGCCCCCGGGACCCCCGTCAGCCCCGGGCACGGAGCAGGGCCGGCCCGCGGCGCCCCTGAACGTGGTGCAGCCCTCGGAGGCGCCGGCCGAGGAGGACGACTTCAAACCACGGCCCATCATCCCCATGCTGTACGTGGTGCCCCGCAGCAAGAAGGTGGTGTTCGACAAGGAGCACATGTCCTGCCAGCAGGCCTTCGAGCAGTTCGCCACGCAGAAGGGGCTGGGCTGGCGCGAGCAGGGCCCCGGCAAGGAGCAGGACGGCGCCGAGGCGGAGCGCGCCGAGCTCGCGGCAGAGGTCAGTGAGCAGGCTGGCGTGAGGACAGCTCCAAGGTCAGCCTGGGTGCAAGCACCACCTGGTCTAGAGGTCTACAGCCCTGTGGTAGGGTTGGGACCATCATCACCTGGTCTAGAGGTCTAAGGCCCTGTGGTAGGGTTGGGACAGACACCACCTGGTCTAGAGGTAGGGTTGGGACCATCATCACCTGGTCTAGAGGTAGGGTTGGGACCATCATCACCTGGTCTAGAGGTAGGGTTGGGACCAGCATCACCTGGTCTAGAGGTCTACAGCCCTGTGGTAGAATTGGGACCAGCACCACCTGGTCTAGAGGTAGGGTTGGGACCGACACCACCTGGTCTAGAGGTGCTACAACCCTGTGGTAGGGTTGGATCCAACATCACCTAGTCTAGAGGTCTAAGGCCCTGTGGTAGAATTGGGACCAGCACCACCTGGTCTAGAGGTCTACAGCCCTGTGGTAGAATTGGGACTGGTATCACCTGGTCTAGAGGTGCTACAACCCTGTGGTAGGGTTGGGACTGGCATCACCTGGTCTAGAGGTGCTACAACCCTGTGGTAGGGTTGGGACCAGCACCACCTGGTCTAGAGGTGCTACAACCCTGTGGTAGGGTTGGGACCGGCATCACCTGGTCTAGAGGTCTACAGCCCTGTGGTAAAATTGGACTGGTATCACCTGGTTTAGAGGTTTACAGCCCTGTGGTAGAATTGGGACTGGTATCACCTGGTTTAGAGGTTTACAGCCCTGTGGTAGAATTGGGACCGTATGGTCTTTCAGGTCCCTTCCAACCCAAACCGTTCTGGGATTCCATGAGTCACAATTTCCGTGGCGTTCCCAGCTGTGTGTGTGTGGTTGAGCAGACTTTTCGTGAGCTGATGGAATTGGCAGCTTGCAGATGTTCTGAGGCTGGCCTGATTTGAAGAAAACTCTGTAGTTTACCCAACTTCTTAAGAGTTGGTGTTGGCTTTTATCTGCTCCAGGAATTGGCTTGGAAGGCTTTAGTGGTTCAGCCAAAAGGCAGAGAAAAGTTTGCTGTGTGAATCCAAGAACTCTCTATGACAGGAGCTCTGCCTCTCTTGTCCTGTTCCCTCCTTTGGGGTGCCCATCCAGCTTGTTGTGCTTCCTTCCAGGCTGCTTCTGCCTTCTCCAAGATGAAGATGGAGATCAAGAAGAGCCGCCGGCACCCGCTGGGCAAGCCCCCGACACGCTCCCCGCTGTCCGTGGTCAAACAGGAGACCTCGAGTGATGAGGGTGAGTGAGCAGCACCAGGGACCCGTGGATGTCCTGTCTGAGCCTTTGACAAAACTGAGTGGCCTGAAACTCTGTTTTACACGTAGCTGGTAGGAAATGCAGCGTGTTCCCGTTTTGATAACCCAGCTGGAAACAAAACTCTGCCGTGGGAGGTGTCACTTCTCACCTCCCACCCTTTTTTCACTCAAGAAAAATATTTTGCTGGCTGCAGAATGAAGCAGCATTTTGGGCAAAGGGAAAAAAGAGCTTGCAGAAAATAATATCTTAAAGGCAAAGCTCTGTTTAGGATATTGCAGTGGGATGAGATCTGTTCCCCTTGGAGGCAGTGGAGGTCAGATCTGCTCTCGTGTGTGAGGAAAGTCAGGTCTAACCTTTTGCTTGTCTCCTAATTCACATCAGTGTTGGGGTCCAGCTTTCTTTGGCAGATGCAGAAATGAGAATTAAAATGTTTTTCGGTGTTTAACTGTACATCATTGATTCTTCTTTCCCCACATTCCAGTCCCTAACAATCTGGACCAAGGGGAAAGAAAAGATTCTTACCTCTCACTCTGTTTTGTGGTGTAATTTCCCACTTTGAGGTGTTTTCCACATATGGACAATCCCCCAACAAGGAGCTTTTGTGTGCTGGGTCAGGCATGTAGGTGTAGCTGGCAGTCCCTGCTCACAACTCCTCATTCCAAAGGACATCATCTTTCCTGTTCACTCTCCTTCAGGAGTGCATCCACTGATTTTAGAGCAGCCTCCTGCAGGAAGGGCTTCTCCTGAGCACACAGAGCTCCTTTCCTCACCAAGGAGGATGCGTTTGATGCCTTCCAAGTGTGTAACATGGAGTGAAGTGTGCAGAGGCAGCTGAGACTTGTTATGTTGTTTTGGTGTGAGACCTTGGAACCAGCTCTGTGCTGGAGGATCCTCATTAGGCAGATTCTTCTCACTGCTTTGACTTGTTGGATGGTGTTTGGGGACTTGGCTGGTGGAGCAGGAGCAGCTCTTGTGGAAGCTGGCATTTCTTGGGGACTGATTTACAGCTCTGCTGGGCAAAATCTGATCAGACAGATTCTTCCCTCCCCAACAGGGAATGGAGGCAGCTCTCTGCACCCCAGGCTTTTTCAGGGAATGATGTGCAGGATGATCTGCAGGAGGAACAGTGAGCATGTAAATTAAGAGAATGCACATGTTAGACAAAGATTCAGCTCAGACAAGTTGTTTGCAATGTGGGAGCCATCCTGAATGCCTTGTGTGCCCCTGGATCCATCCTGGGAGGAGCCAAGGTGATAGCACACGACAGTCATTCCCTTTCTTCTCTCCCTCTGTCACTCTGGATTAGGCAGCTGGTTTCACTGATTTCACTGCTGTCATAAATCCTGGTCTGTCATCTGATGTGCCTTGACTGAAATTTGGAGAAATGTGGGTTGTGATTCATGTCTTATAAATAAACACTTTTTAGAGGGTAACCCTCATACGAAATGTGACAGGGCCACACACCCAGCATTCATCACCTCAAAAAAGGGATTCATCAAACACAATAAAATTTCCACATTGTCTGACAAATATGTTATGACCAACATTTAAAATCTGAGATGTAAACTCAGCCATTAACATTTTACTCCAAGTTCCTTTTATCCTTTCAGGTAACCCAAGAGTCAGAAAATCTTCAAAGGGAGGGAGAACTGGGGAGGAGACTTAGACTTGTAGAGCAGAACATAAACTGCTTATTTCCAGTAATTAACAGTGAAGCAGTGAACAATTTGGTTTAATGTGCTGAGCTCTGGGGATAATGTTCTTCCAAGATGTTTTTGAGTTCCCTGTTCTTTTGGAAACTTCGCAGATTGGTGATGCAGGGAATGATTTACATTCAGCCTTGTGTGGAAAATGTCTTTAACACTTACAGTGACTCAAAACTCCTTCATAGGAAGGGTAAGAAACTCAGACCCCCAGACTGCCACAAATGGATTCTGCAGTGGTTTAGTCATGAAATGCCAAGGACCTTTTAAAGGTTTATAAATTAAAGAATTAGCAAACTAATTAGCAGGAGCAGTCGCTGGCAGAGCTCTGGCAGAGGGAGGGATGGTGGGGAGTGCAGGTGGGAGGTTCAGTGGTGTGGGAATGGCTGTACCAGAGCACTGAAGCCCAGCCAGGGTCAATGTGGGCAGGGCAGCTCTGGGATGCACCTTGGGAGGGTTGGGTCAGGTGGGAACTGGGAGCTGGCCTGGCCACAGCAGCAGCAGCTGCATCCCCACCTCCCAGAGCATGCTGGAGACAGGAAAGGGGCATTTCCTTGCACTGGCATCATGTATTTTGAACTTACCAAATTAAATCTTCACGAAAAGGATGGTGGAGGTTTCACAGCTGGAAAGGGGATGGAGTTACAAAGGCAATAAATCTCCATTCTCTCCTTCCTCGTGGCCAGTTCCTTCTGGTCACCGCTGTCCCTTCATCCCCAAAGTGGATATCTTGTCCATTTAAGGAAGTATTTGGGGCATAGGCATATGGGAAGCCATGGAGGAGTTGAATGGTTTTGTTTATTGCACTTCTTGTGGTGTTGAGACCTGAGCTGTTTAACTCATCCTTGCTCCTTTTGCCTCTTCTAACAGTAAACTCTTTTGTCTTTACTGACTGCTCATTGTTTTGGGATTTTTTTTTTCCCTTTTCATTCTAGAAATGTTTCCATTTTCTGGAGAGGAAGATATGAGTGATCCAGAGGCTTTGAAATCTTTACTTTCCTTCCAGTGGAAGAACAAAGCACTTAATTTCCCAGCTGAAAGGAAGTTCAATGCAGCTGCTGCCCTGAGTGAGCCATACTGTGCTGTCTGCACCCTCTTCTACCCCTATAACCAGGTAATTCCTCATCACAGAGACAGGGAATCACTAAGGTTGGAAAAGACCTCTAGGATCAAGTCCAGCTGTCACTCCCCCACTGTGTTCACCCTAAAGCCACGTCCCCCACTCTGTATCCGTGGGTTTTTTGGATGGTGACCCCACCAGTTCCCTGTGCCATTGCCTGACCACACCTTCCATGAAGAGATTTTCTCTAATATCTCATCTAAACCTCTGACACTGCTCAACTGGGTGAGTTAGGATGCAGACATTTCTGACACAGACAAAGCCATACAAATTTGCACTCCAAAGGAATGTGTTTGGATTTGGCAGTGGCTGGAGCCTTTTTTGTTATCTTTCCTGGCTTCTCTGGCTTGCTCAGTGTTCATTTTGAAATCACACTGAAAGAGCTTTGCAAACACTGTTCCATGCAGAGGAAAATCACACCAGGCTCCTGTTTCCATACAGGCCTGAGTTGCTGAATTTATGCAAACAAGCCACAGAATAAAAATTTACTGAGTAAGCACATCCATCACCTTTTTTTGGAAACTACCAATATGCTTTGGGAGATGTTATGAGCAGAAAGGCAAAATTCATCAGATGAATTAGTTATTTGTGCAGTTGTGCATTGATTTGTTCTCACATAAAGCCAAATTTGGCTTTGTGTGCCCACCAGGAATTCATGCCTTAGATACTTGTAGCTGTGTTGGAAGCTTTTCCTGAGGAAAGCAGAACCCACCTCCCCCTTCAATAAAATCTCTTGATTTATTATACAGACTGAAAATAAAATATCTGTTCTGATTGCTGGCTGTTGCGAGGAAAACTGGGTACAGCTGAGCTGGTTTTATCCATTGCTTTTAACCCTGTCTGCTACCAGAAACCTTGAGGTGTCCTTCAGGAGAACTTCTTGCAGGAAAAGTAGGGAAGAATGCCAAAGGAATGGGAGAGGGGGAGGGAAGGCTTTGCTTTTAGCAATATTTTCCTTTTTATTTTTCCTTGGTGTTTTCAGCTGCAATTTAGGAATTTAGATTTTTGCAGAAGAAAACCAAGAAAAGCTTCTCATTATTCTAATGTTGCTTTGAGCTTCCACAACAAATTACAGATCCCAGTCGGTGCCTGAGGAAGAGGAGGAGAAGCAAAGGGGGGAATCAGGATTTTAGGCCAATTTTGGGTGTGAGGTGTTGGGTGACTTTTTGGCAAGGGGAGTGCTCAGAGTGGAAAGTGAAAACCATGGCAGGAAGAGGTGGTTCCAGTGATGGGGTTTTCTCTGCAGTCCTCACAGGTGGAGAAGGAAGCTGCCCCCATCTCCACAGGGGAGCCGTCCTCGTTCGTGCACCTTTCCAAGTGTGGGCAGAAGACCAAGCCCCTGATCCCAGAGATGTGCTTTACCTCAAGTGGAGAAAACACCGAGCCCCTTCCTTCAAATTCCTACATCGGAGAGGATGGAACCAGTCCCTTGATATCCTGTGCCAAATGCTGCCTGCAGGTTCATGCTAGTGAGTGTTTCACCTTCCCCAAAGCCTTTGGGTCCTGAGAAACTCAGGAGTTTGTGTGTTGCTGTGCTTGAGTTCCTTCTTGTCAGGTTTCTATCCTGTCACTCCCATTTTTATCTTTCTTGGTACAAGGATATCAGGAATCCCAGAAAGGTTTGGGTTGGAAGCACCTTAAAGCTCATCCACTTCCCATCCCCTGCCATGGGCAGGGAACCTTTCAAAGCACATCTGTGTATTCAAGTCCATCTTGGCAGTCACTGATCTTAAAAATACACACCAATATTCTTTTTACTGCTTATTTTGTTGGCTGATTCTTCTCTGTCTCACTGAAAAGATTCTTTCTTTTGATACCTTTCATTTTTTTGTAATAAAGCAGAACTCAAAGGCTTTATTGCACTCTTTCTCTCACATATTTCGTTCCAATATTGTTCTGCTGGGGGAGGCTATATTGTTCTTGCAAGCAGCAGAGATTATGGAGTAGTTTGAGATATATTTTATTAGTGTCTCTGATAGTGTTTGTAGTAATGGCACTTGATTACAAAAGGGAACATATGTCTGTTTGCTTCCCTGATAGTTATGTCTAAAAGAAGATCTGATTAATCCTGGTGGAGTGTACCTTCAGTGGAGATTGTACAGCATCCAGTTAGCATTTGTGACGAATTACTGTTCAGCTGTTTGATCTTGACAGATGGGGAATCTTATTTGACTTGCATCAGCTGGAATTACTTCTGTTGTTCCAATTTTAGAGTCTGCAGGTCCCCGTGCAGCTCGGCAGGGCTGGGGAACTGGAAGAAAACTTTGTTTCTGTGCTGAATCCCTGATTATGGCCATTTCTGGCTAATCAGGCCGTGGGATGCAGAGTGGGTGTGAGGAGGAAGATTTCATCCTGCCTTCACAATTCAGGGCTGCTGCATCTTGTCCATCCTTAGGCCTGCAATAGTCCAGTCTGTCAGAATGGTTTCTGTGCCCAAATTCCCAAATTCTGTTTAAAGACAGAGGAGTATGGGCAAGATGATGTTAATCTGCAGGCTCAGACCTGAGATCCGTCTTTTTTTAGAGAAACTCAGTTTTATATTTTGGCTCTACTCTCCCCTTGAGGGTAGGACAGGACAGGTGTTAAATCTGATGGAGGCTCCAGTGCCTGGTTGTTTCCTTGTGCTCTGTGACATCCCTTTGACTTTGCTGCAGAGAATCCATTTGCTTTTATTGCAGGATTGCAGTGGTGAGATGTATTTTGGCTGACTAAAACCAGCTGGCAGCCTGTGTGTTCTTGGGAAGTGCCCTCTCAAACGGTGCTGGGTTCCAGCAGCCAGGCCCTACAGAGAGGGGGAAGGTTTGGGAAGGTTTCTGGGCTTGAGGCACTGACAAAATCCATAAAAAGAGCATATTTTTCTTGGATTATCCTTGTGGGACAGCCTGGGGTTCAGTAAATGGGACTGTTCTGCCCTTACAGAATCACTGAGGTTGGAAAAGACCTTTGAGACCATCAAGTCCAGATGTCAGCCCAGCACCACCACCCTGCCCACCAGTAGCCAGGTCCCCTGGTGTCACATCCATGGATGTTTTGAACACTTCCAGAGATGGTGATTCCACCTCTGCCCTGGGCAGGATGTTCCAATGCTTTACAACCCTTTCCATGAAGATATTTTTCCTCATTTTCAATCTAAACCTCCCCTGGTGCAGCTTGAGGCTGTGCTCAGGGTCTGGCTCTCCTTCAGCTCAGTTTTGGACTGAACACCCCTGTCCTTGTTCTAGGCCTGGGTGGAATTTGCTGCCCTGATTTGCCATATGATGAAAAGAGACCTCAGATGTGGAGAGCAGCTGCAGATCCATAGTATTGACTTTTTTTGACATGCTGTTTATCTGGTTAAGTGGATGATATTTATAAATCAGGCCGTGGTAGCAATCCCAGTGCTTTCTGAATGTCTTCTTTTAAGTTTAATTCAGTAATTTGAGATTGTTGTTCCCAGCTGAAATTTTCTGTTCAGTTTGTTAGTATAGGTGAAGGCTGGATGAGATTTTGTTAGGAAGGATAGAGGCTGGGTGGAACGAGCTGTTAGTTGAGATGCTTATCTTCAATTTTCCACTCACTTTACAAGCTTGCAGGAATCACATAGATCTACTTTTCCAAAACTGTATTTGTGTCTTTTCCCATTGTTTTCAGTGACAAACCTCAGTGCCTTTTATAGAATTTTAAGGACTTTTTTTGTTCATATTTCTCTGTCTTTATAATGAGCATAATACCACTTTACTATTTTGGTGTTGTTGTAGGAGGATTTGGTGCTTGCGTGTTACAGTAATTGATGCTCTGTAAAATGAAATGCTTTTAACACTTCCTATAACCATAAATTAAATACTGTTAACCACGTGGAATGCAGGTATTTAATTTCCTTGCAGTATTATTTGGCTTGTCCTTCCACATAACACCACTGTTAACCTTGCCAAAATTCAATGCCCTTCACTGTTTTGATGTGTGAGTGCACTCCAGCAGTGGTGGCATCACCTTGGAGCCCAGTTCCTGCCTAAAGAAACAAAGTATTGCTGTTGTAGTCCTTAGAAAAGTGAAAAACAAATGTGAGGATTACCTGTGGGGGGGATTTGGTTTGTTTCTTTTCAGACCTGCTGGTCCCAATTCTGATTTTGTCGGAGCCTGTTGAATACAGTTCCTCAAACGCTCTCAAAGTTGCTTCTGAACTGAAAAGTCGTGGAGTCAGGCTAAGAAGTGTTGTGAGAGGGCTGCTGTGACCAGGCTGTGGCTCTGTTTGTTGCAGGCTGTTACGGGATACGCCCGGAGCTGGTGAACGAGAGCTGGTCGTGCTCGCGGTGCTCGGCCGGCGCCTGGGCAGCGGTAAGGACTGCACACAGCACCCTTCCTGTGGCATTCTTTAAAATCAGAGCATTTTGGGGTGTATCTGGTGAGAGGTTAGGAAGTTCTAAGCTTTAATAATAGAGCTCTGTGCGTTGTATCTTAAGGTTTACAAGCAAGTATTGTATTCAAAATAAGAGAGCATTGTTTTAATCAAAGATATTTATAGTGATGACATAGAACTACTGTCAATACGCTTTTGCTTTGTGTGATTGGTCAAAAACCTTTTAAAGTAAGCTGTAACATTAAGTTCTTAGTCTGCTGCCTGGGATGTGAGCTGCTGGCATCTTCCCATTGTCATAACCATGGAATGAGACTGATGCTAAAAAATAAACAGCTCCAGGTGCATTCCACAGCAGTCCCATCCTGATTTGTACATAACCCCTGGCCAGCAATACCTTCCCACTGGCACTGCTGGGATCACTCACTGCTCAACACACATGGGTGGTGGGAGGATTCAGCTTGCCTTGGACATCCCAGGTGGGGTGTAGTCACTTTCTGGGGAGGGTGAACAGCCTGGCAGAGCTTTTGGGTGGCGTTCTGATGGAGTTGTGTTCCCGCAGGAATGTTGCCTGTGCAATCTCAGGGGAGGGGCTCTCCAGATGACCACTGATGGCCGGTGAGTGCTGGTTCTGAGTGTGTTTTCCTTCCATACTGCACCTAATCTCCTTGTCTTGTGAATTTGGTCTTAGTGCTCAGTGTAGCAGCAAGTTTTGGGGTTCTGGAGGGAGCTGCTCCTCGTTGACTTGGCAGGATGAGCCCAAGTGACTGAGCTGCCCTACACTGCACCAGGCTGAACTCCTGCTGAATGTAGTTGTTTCTCAGAGAAAAGTCTTCTCAGAGAATGTTTAGCACTGTGCAATATCAGGTGTAGAAGAAGGCTGATCTCTGTTGTTCCAGAGGCATTTACCTTGTGCCACCCTGATTAACAGTCGATTGGGAATGTTGCCAAGGCTGCCAACTCCTGGAAATGTGCTTTGGTGCTGAGGGAGGCAGGGAAATGTTAACTGCCCTCCTGAGCATTTCATTCAAATGATGGCAGGCCCTGATTTGTGTCTTCACTTTGCTCCCCAGGTGGGTCCACGTAATCTGTGCTATTGCTGTCCCCGAGGCGCGTTTCCTCAATGTCATAGAGCGTCATCCCGTGGATATCAGCGCCATCCCCGAGCAGAGGTGGAAACTGGTGGGTGTCTTTTACTGGGGACACAGTTTGGGAACTTTTTCCAGCCAAAGGACAAAGCTGTAACTAGACAGAAAATCATTGTGTGGGTTTGTGAAGCTGAGATTGGAGGTGATCTCGCTCTCATTTCCAAACAAAAGCTGCATCGTTTGTGTCTGCTGAGCCCTGTCAGTGCTTTGACACACAGCCAGCTCTGATTTCCAGATGTGCTTTTACTCTCTGGGTGTGTGCTGTACCCTGGGCAGAACCTGGGACTCCTTCCCACCTGCAGTCAGGTGTAAAGTGCCTGAAAGCTCCTTTTACTCCAAGTACTGCACAGCAGGAGTGCAGAGGGACATGGTGACTAGAGAGAAGCTGACTTGTTCATCTCTAATTCACCTTTCCTTATAACATTTCTCTTTTTCTATCAAGAAATCTCTTGTAGAAATGAATAAACATTTCTGTGACCCTGACTGCAAGGCAAGACTGCAAGGATTTTAATACAAGCCCAGCTCCAAGTTGTTATTTAGCTGTGTGGCCTCATCCGAGGGATTAGTAATGGACGATTCATTAGCTCAGAGCAATTTATCTTAATGTTAGTTAATGCTCCATCACTATAGTGTGTTATTGCAAAATAAATTGTGCTTTTGCTGCTTTTTTTGGTACAGAAGTCAGCTGGGTGACACAGTGTGGGATGGGGAAGGTGCTGGAGCAGTGATAGATGGGTTAGTGCTGATGGATTCGTTAACAGAGCTGCTACTTAGTGCAGCAGAGCCTGGGTGAGAGATTAGGAGGAACCTATCCCTGCTTCCAGAGTTATTTCTCTGTTGTGCAAATGGGTTTTGTACACAAATGTGAATGTAAAAAGCATTCATTATTCAGCAGGAGTGATGGGGCAGCTCAGTGCCAGGGTGATAAATCTTGCAGCGGTGGCTCTTTATGGATCAGCTGACACTTCCAACGTGCATCCTCTTCATTACCAGCACTTGTAACGCTGAACTTAAAATCCTTTTACACAACACTCACTTGTATTGCTTAATGGAGCCTCTCAAGGAAACATGACTTAATTCTTTAACCCTTCCTTGGCTGCCTGGCAGTCCTGCAGAGTCAGGGCAGTGTCTGTGTGTGTCTGACTCTGTTGCTTTGCTCTGCTCCAGAGCAGAGCCTGTGCCTACCAGGACCTCTGCACGGACCCACTGCACACATTTCTCCTTCATTCCTCAGTTAAAACTGCAAAGTTTCACAGAACTGCAAAGAATCACAGAATATCCTGAGTTGGGAGGGTCCCCAAAGACCATCCTGGCCCTGCACAGATACCCCCAAAATCCCACCCTGAGGGTGTTGTCAAACGCTGCTGGAGCTCTGGAAAGAATTTTTGTTTGATTTCTTCTGTTGTATTCCATCTGCACCTCGTGTTTTCTTCCCTTCTCAGGGAACCTGGAGAATGTTTACTTGAAGTGCCTGAACTTACACAGGCCAGTGTTGGAATTTACAGGCACATATTCCTTATGCTGCTGCTAGCCAGAGCCTGGCTTGTAGCTCAAATGTCAAAGCCTGGCTCTAAGCCCTTCACTTGGAAAGTTTTAGAGTTATCAATTAGGTAAGGATTAAACAATTAATTTGGATGGCAGAATACAGCGGCTGTGGTGTGGGGTGTGAGGGACAAAGGGAGTGTAAATTGGATAAGATGGTGTGCAGAGACTCACGAGCCGTGGTGGGGAGTTTTAGGATTCTTCATGGGAATTTGCAGGTAATTCCTGGAGCATGTGGGGAGTCAGTGGAGGAGCTGGGGGCTGAGTGCTTTGGAGGTGAGCAGCTGCAGTTAGAAAGATAAACTGAGGGTGACTAAAAGGTGATGGCATTGGAGCTCCTGGCTTTGGCAACGATGGACTTGGTGCAATGCTTGCTAAAATTGGGAAGATGACCTTTGTGGCTGGAAAAGATGGAAAAGGAGAGGAGGAGTGATGTGAAAGGTGAGGACAGTTGATGTAAATAGATGAGGGTAGTGGAGGAGAGAGGGGGTAGGGGTTATCCATGGTTATAATTTGATTTTTTAAAATATTTCTAAATTGTTTTAAGTTTCTGTGATGAAGGCTGAGATACTAAGGAGTGGCAGTGACCTGGTGAAAGGTATATCCTGTTCTCTAAACATGAACCAGGTCTCCCTGTGCAAGCACAGACTTTTCAGTACATTTGTGGGTATGGCACCATTTTCAGGACTGCAGTTTCCTGCTCCCAGATTGATGGCACATTACAGGCCTGTGCACGTAAATTATTTATGACGTGGAAATTTGGAATAATTAGCTGTCATTCCTCAGTGGAGTAAATGAATTGCAGTGTTCATCATGCAGCAGACAGCCCATTTCTTACTCTCAGCAGTGACCTGACTCTGGTGTGCATTTATTCCGAAGATTTCTCTCCTGTGCTTTGGACTCTTTTCCCTCCCACAGAAAATGCCTTTAAATCTCCATGTGCAGCTTTCCCACAGCACTTGGCACTGGTGTTTCTGTCCATCCCATCTCTCACACTCCCAGATCTGCATTTTCATACCATCCCAGACTGTTTTGGGTTGGAAGGGACCTTAAATCCCACCCAGTGCCACCCCTGCCATGGCAGGGACACCTTCCACTGTCCCAGGCTGCTCCAAGCCCTGTCCAGACTGGTCTTGGACATTCCCAGGGATGGAGCAGCCACAACTTCTCTGGGCACCCTGTGCCAGTGTTTTACCACCCTCACAGCCAAGAATTGTCACTTCCTCCATCACTCTGTACACATCAGGCTCACTGTCACCCACATTTTTCTTCTGATCCTATTTGCTCTGAACATCCCTTTGCTGCAGCTCTTGTGCCTGTCACAGGGAGCTTGTGTGGGCACAGGGTGGCACTGGCTGTGTGCTAATCCTGGCTTGGCAGAGTCCTGTTGGCATCAGGAGGGGCAGATTCCTGCCCTGGGAGGGTTAATGCTCCCCGAGCCCCCTGTGTGTCAGCAGCTGTCCCTACTGCTGGGACAGGGGGATATTGACAGGTTAATAAAGGCATCTGTGCTATTGACTCCCCTCAGTCCTGCTGTGCACTTTCCTGGTGCTTATCAGCCCCTGGAACATGGTTTGCAGAGAGATAAAGGCTCAGCTTATTAAAGGCTAAACCCACGTTCTGGCAGCACTCAGGCTCTGCCTTTGAATTTCCTGGCTTTTGTTCGTTTGTGTAAAAAGGCCAAATTAATCTTTGGTGTAAACAAACTGCCTTCAGTTAATTCATAGGAAGGAATGGGAATTATTTCATAGAAATGTGGGGCAGAGCCCAGGCAGGGAGGGGGGTGTTGCACAGGAATAAGGAAGAACAAATCTGTACTTTGGCATATTTTGCTTTCAAGGAAGAGAAATGTTCCTGGAGAAGAAATCACAGAATCCCAGAATGGTTTGGGTTGGATGGGACCTTGAGGGTTTTGGAGTTCTGCCCCCTGCCATGGTCAGGGACATCTTTTGTTCATTTTAACCATGAAAGGCACATTTGTCTCGTGTGTGTGATATTAATTTTGCCCTGATTTGCCTTGTCCCAGCCTCGGATAAGGTAAAGAAGCTGCCCCACCCCTGGAAGTGTCCAAGGCCAGGTTGGATGGGGCTGGATGAGTGGGATGAGCTTTGAGGTCCTTCCAGCACAAACCATTCTGGGATTTGCTGAGCAGTGACAGATTCCTGGAAATGTTATAAAAACTGAGTGGTGTTTCCAAATGGATCCCTGGAAACATTATGCAAGCATCCATTCTTTAGACTGGGATTCCCAAAATCTCCTTTTCTGTATTTCTGAGGGGTTGGAAACAAGAATTGGTGCTGTTAGAGGGAGTGAGAAAATTTGTCTTGTTCCCACTACAGCTCCTGCTCACTGTCAGTGCCATCAGGCTCAGGATTTTTAGCTTTGAGAAAACGTAATTTCTTTCTAAAGCAGTCACACATATCGATTTACCTCATAACTGGATCTGCTTTGCAGAAAATGAGTGTGAAAATGTCTCCAAGATTTCAGACCTTTTTCCCCCATAATTCTGGTTTTTTTCATACAATGTGTTTATTTCTTTTGTTTGCAAAACTGACTGAATTATCTACAGTGGCTCATCTGATATGGATGCCAATAAAATATTTATGCTTGATATGCTTATGCATCTAAAATAAACACACAGTATTTTTGTTCCATTATATGATTTTATATTCCATGAGATCTGATCAATACAATGTCCCATTAAATACAATCGAGCAAATTGCCACCCAGTTACTGTTCTTTCAGAAAAATGGAAATGTTATTTTCCAGCAGTGCAGAGGTGAGGTTCCAGCTGCTGTTGCAGTTAATGAAGTGTAGGTGCACTGAGGGTGAGGGTGCAGCAGTTCTCTGGTACCACTGGTGGGTTTTTGCCTGGTTCCAGTGAGCCCAGTCCAAACTGGAGCCCAGTCTCTCTGTGCCCAGTGTGGCTCTGCAAGGCTGAGTGGCTGGAGGTGCTGGCGTGGCCACAGGAGTGCTGAGGTAGGGAATGACAAGATCTGCTGGAGTTTCTTGGCATGCAGAGCTCCTGAGTGGGTGCACACAGACAGTCCTGGCCGTGGGGGCCTGACCCCTTGGCACAGAACATCACTTTGGCACTGTGGCACTGCAGCCACGGGCTCAGTGCCATGTGCCACGTCCCGTGGGGGCTGTGGGGTCTCTGCAGGGCTCCAGCAGAGATCTGAGCTCTGGGTGTGAGCAGAGCTGGGTGTGAGCTCCAGCTGTGCTCCCTTGCAGAGCTGGGTGTGAGCTCCAGATGTGCTCCCTTGCAGAGGTGATTCCAGCTGTGCTCCCTTGCAGAGGTGACTCCAGCTGTGCTCCCTTGCAGTGCTGGCTGTGGCTCCAGCTGTGCTCCCTTGCAGAGCTGGCTGTGACTCCAGCTGTGTTCCCTTGCAGAGGTGTGTGTACTGCAGGAAGAGGATGAAGAAGGTGTCTGGGGCCTGTGTCCAGTGCTCCTACGAGCACTGCTCCACGTCCTTCCACGTGACGTGCGCGCACGCGGCCGGCGTGCCCATGGAGCCCGACGACTGGCCCTACGTCGTGTCCATCACCTGCTTCAAGCACAAAGCAGCAAACCAGAACGTAGGTTTTGGGCTGGGATTGGGGCTTCTCTGCTGGGGGGTTGGACTGGGGGGATTTGGGGTTTTGTTGGGTTGTTGGGTTTTTAAAAATAGTTTCTCCCCGCTCGTGTTGGCTCAAAACGTTTTGTGCTTTTAATGCAGAAGGGTTGTCCAGGGAGCCATTGTTGGGGATGGCTTTAATCTGCAGGAGAGCTGCTGTGTGTGGGAAATTAGGAAGGAATTCCTAGCTGTGAAGAGGGTAGAACACTGGCACAGGGTGCCCAGAGAGCTGTGGATCCCCTGGATCCCTGGAAGTGTCCAAGGCCAGTTTGGAGCAAATTGACACCCAGTTACTGCGTTCTGTTCTTTCAGAAAAATGGAAATGTTATTTTCCAGCAGTGCACTGGTGAGGATCCAGCTGCTCTTGCAGTTAATGAAGTGTAGGTGCACTGAGGGTGAGGGTGCAGCAGTTCTCTGGTACCACTGGTGGGTTTTTGCCTGGTTCCAGTGAGCACCCTGGGAGTGTGGGAGGTGTCCGTGCCATGGCAGGGGTGGGACTGGATGGGCTTTAAGGTCCTCTTCACCCAAACCATTCCATGATTCCTTGGAATTTTGGACCCAGCTTTTGCAGCTGTGGCTGGCAGCTGATCCTGCTGTGTCCCTGCAGGTCCCATTCCGGAGGGAGGTGGCCCTGGGGCAGACAGTGATCACCAAGAACAGGAACGGGCTCTACTATCGCTGCAGGGTCATCGGCACCAGCACCCAGACCTTCTACGAAGTCAACTTCGACGATGGCTCCTACAGTGACAACGTTTACCCCGAGAGCATCATTGTAAGGCAGCTCTGGGGACACTGCTGTGTCACAGTGTACAAACTCTGATCTGTGCCTCGGGGTGGAACAGCAAAGCAAAACTCAACTTTTTCATTTTAATTTTTAAGTTGCTGCTTGCCTCGAAAATCTCATCCTGCTCTTCATGACAGATCTTGTTTCTGACATTATCTCATTTATTTTTTGGTTGCTTTACAAAGATGTGATCTTGCTGAATGCAGATGACTTCACAGAAAGCGGTGTTTGTTCTAAATTTCATCCTATTTGTTTTCTGGTTGAATAATCTTATTTTTCAACTGACAAGTGTGATTCATGGGGGAAGCAGATTGTTCGTAAGCACTTCTGGTTCAAAACAGGGAATTCACTTAATAGAGAGAATGTCTAGAAGAGGCTGATTTGTCAGCTCATGCATTGCCTTCCTGATTGTGCCACTGATTCACTGAGTTGCCCTGCTTGTTTTTGAGATACAGGAGATGTGATGTTGTGGGATTTGTAATGAGAAATGTCCAAGAGCTGGGTGCTGGCAGCAGAAGGAGCTGCCAGAGTCGATTGCTGGTTTCTCAGGCTAGTTTTGTTTGAGATGCCCACAATTATTCACAAGTGCAGAAATGTACCTTATTGCTCATTGCCATGTGATTTTAGCACCCCTCTGGCTCCTGAGCTTTGGTGGAGTTGTGTCTCTGACCCCTGTGTCTCTGTCCTCAGAGCAGGGACTGCATCCAGATGGGGCCTCCTCTGGAGGGGGAGCTGGTGCAGCTGCAGTGGACGGACGGCATCATCTACAAGGCCAAGTTCATTGCAGCCCAGATCAGTCAGATTTACCAGGTGAGTGTGGCAGAGGGATCCCTGGGGTGTGCTCCAGGATGGGAGAGCTGAGCCTGCACCAGGATGGGCTGCTGGAGCTGGACAGAGCAGGAGGAGGATTTGGGAGCAGATGATTTATTCCCTCTGAGTTTGTCTAGCCTGAACTTGACACCCCTATTAAACTGTGCTCTGTGTCCTTCTGCTTTATGCAGAAAAGTGTATTAAAGTCTTGGGCAAAGGAAATAAGAATCCCTTAAAAACTTTTAATAGTTTTAACATTTTGCTGTGCACGTTCCCATGAATAAACATCCCTGGAACATCTGATGCATAATTCATTATATAATCAGTGCTTAGCAAAAAGAGTTTCATGGGAGGAGTTTTTTGTACCTGGCTGACTATTTCTGCTGGTTGAAATACAAATGTACTTTAGTAGCTGGAGTTGTTTCCTTGTGACCTGTGAAAATGCTTTGTTTAAGATGAAAGAAATTCTTATTACCATATTGGCCTGAATAGCGGGCTGCTTTCATTATAAGTGAAATGCTGCTTTTTTCAGGATATGAATCAAAAATCAGTAGAAATGTGAGGTCCAGGGCCAGCTGGAGTACAGATATTTTGGGATTCATGGAGAGCTGAATGAATCCACTTGGATAAGACAGAGGTGCCTGAACAGCACTGAAAGCAGCACTTTTTTGGCTCGGCATCCTCACCAGAGCTTGGGAGTGCTCATTCCACAGCAGCCCTGGAGACATCCCTGGGAGCTGGCCCCTGATGCTTCCTGGCTGTTCCTGGAGGGCCCAGGTGTGCCCCAGGCTGGGAATGGGCTGTTGAAATGCTGGCTCTGAGTTCATCTTCTGCCTCCCTGCAGGTGGAGTTTGAAGATGGCTCTCAGCTAATGGTAAAGCGTGGGGATATTTATACCTTGGAGGAAGAACTTCCCAAGAGAGTCAAGTCTCGCCTGGTGGGTACCAAAATAGCAAACAATAAACCAGCTGCAGCTTGCAGAACCCCTTCACATTTTCTTCATGTGTTTTTTAGACATTAGGTGAATGCAGCCTCTAGTTTCTGTGGCTGTAAAACAGCTTGTCATTCCCAAAATACACAGAGTGGAAGAAATCCTGGCCATGGATGCTTGAGAGGCACAGGAATGATTTCCCCTTGCACGTGTTCAGCTCAGAGTTTTATTTTCTCTGGTTAAAATATTATGTTCAGCTCATTTTACACCATATGAATTCAGTTATATGGAGTCATCCTGTCCAAGTGTGAGGTGAGCTGGGCTGCAGCTCAGGGGTTTCTGGAGAACTGATTATCACCGTGAGACCAAACCCCCTTTTCTCACCAAACTGGAGATTTAGAGTGTGGCTCTTACCTATAAATCTCTTAATCTACAAGATCAGGCTGTCTTTAAGTGCATACAGTGGAATTACAGAGCCTAGAAAAGATGAGGGATTTATTTCACAGCTTTTTTTTTTTTTGTTCCAGACCTGCTGGGTGTTTTCAGACCTGGTGCTTTACCCTTTAAAGGCATTTCATTTAACCAGGTGATGGGGCTGGAGAATGCCCAGGTTGTTCCCAGCCCAGGGGACTGGGGGTCTCTCCCTGATTTCCTGCTGTGCCCTTAATGGTTGTTTTGTGTCTCTGCAGTCCCTCAGCACTGGGGCTCCTCAGGAAGATGCATTTTTGGGAGATGAAGTGAGAGCAGCCAAGCGTCCCCGGCTGGGGAATCCAAGAAATCCTGAAGAATATGGACAAACCCCAGATTACTTGGCCTTTATGGAGAGCCTGTTGCAGACACAGTACCAGCCTGGGACTCAGAGCAACATGTTTTAACCTGGATTCATTGAAAATATTCAATTAACCCTTTTTGAGTTAGTGGAAAAATCAATAGGAAACTGTGGAGTGGAAGACCAGCCCTGTGCAATAGTCTGCTGTGAATTTCTTTCATCTCCTCTTGGTTTGGACTGCAGGAAATCCCTGTCTGGCTGCTACCTCGACCTTGCCAGGAGTTGCTGACCAAGAGATGGGGATCTTGGAAACCCTTCAGCTTTTCACACGGAGACTTTGGAAAAGTTTCTACAGATGGAGCTTTGTGACTGGTTCTTTTTTATGAGGAAAGGGTTAAAACTTAACAAAATGACTTTTTCAAATCTGTCAAACTTTTGTCTTTCAAGGTGCTATTACATTGACTACTGAAGCAGCCTTTGGAATCGTGTTTTCTGTACATAGACGTCACCTTTGTGAAGTTTTCTATGAATGAGCATTATTAAAAAAAAAAAGCAAGCAAAAATAGGAAAACGAAAGTTTCCACAAAACATTTTTCTAGATTATGGCTTTAAAACAGAAAATAAATTAAATCCTCCCCCCTCACCCCCAAACGAATTGTGACTGATGTTACAGCGGGGAGAGGGAGAGCAAGAGCAGATGTCCTGGAATGTTCTGGGTTCTTCTTTTGTAAAGAAACACTGTCTTTGTAAGCTGGGGAAGGTGGGGAAGAAATGTTCACCGCTGGGATGTTTCTGCCATTGGCTCTCTGAAATTCCTGGGATGGATGTTGGCATCGCTGCCACGTCACCAGGGAGGGGCTTTGGGAAGAAATGGCCAGGTTTGGGTCATTGCTGTCATCTTCCTTCCCCATCTTTGCCATCACAGTTGCTTTCTAGTTCAGGATCAGCATGGCTTTGAGTTCCAGTGTGCCACCCTGGTTTGGCAAGTGTTCTGTTGCTGCTTGTGTTCGCTCCCCACGAGCCGCCCGCGCCCGCTGCGGTGTGAGGCTCCCCGGCAGCACTTCTCCCTTAGAACTTCTCCTTTCTCTTTCCTTTGTCTCTTTATTTTTTAAGTTTTTTTTTTTTTTTTGAGTTGTGCTCCTTACAGTGTGAGAATCATTCCATGACAGAAGCTTGGGAGGTGTTTGTATGTTTTTCTTTTATCCTATTAAAGAAGAAATTCCTCAAACATCTGATTGTCGTGACATCCTTTACTTAAGTAAAGACTGAGCCTGTGAGTTACTCCTGGGGAAGAGGAGTGCAAGCCCTGCCTTTGATTGGACTCAGCTCACTGAGGATTGAAGGAGCACTGAAGGCAAACCCCAGCCCTGAAGTGTTGAGTGGGCAGCTCCCACCTGGACGTTTGGAAATCCCTTCGGGCCGAAGAGCTGATGTGGAGCAGTGCTTGGGAAAGAGCCTGATCCAAACCCTGCCAAGTCACTGGAAAGTTCTTCCACTCTCTTTGGAGGACCTCAGTCAGTTCAGAGGGAGAGAGCAGAACGAGCAGTGCTGGTCCCAAGCTGGAAGGGGCCGTGGCAGAGCTGGGAAGGTTCAGGTGCAGGGCAGAGAGGAGAGGGCACCCGGACCCTCCCCTCCCTCCACGCCCTGGCTGGGCCAGCGAGCAACCTGGAATGCTGCACTGCAATCTTTTCCACTTAATTCCCTGAAATTACTGGATGGAGAGAGACAATATTCTGGTTTTTGTTCTGATTTTTAAGCCCCTTTGCAAGGTGGTCGTTGTTCCGGGGAGAGGCTGTTAAGCAACGCTCTGGCTGGATCTTTAAGGGAATAAGTGGGAAGGATTTGTGGGCTAGCAGATGGTAGATTAGCATCTTAAGAGACTCCATGGGTATTAAACTGTCCTAGTGAAAGAGTGGAGATAGAATAAAGCAATTTAATTCTTTTTTTATTTGGTTTTGTTCTCCCTTGAGGATTGGAGGTCTCATCCTTTCTCCTGCCTCTGCTACGGGTCCTTTTTGTGTGCGTGGCTGCGCGTGCGTGGTTGTAAGACCTTGGAAAAAGGGTTCTGCTTTTGTTTTTTTTTTTTATTTCTGAGTTTTTGACATTTTCAGTAGATGTCTCCACGAATAAAACCAAACTGAGACTAATAAAAGTTTAAAAAAATTGGCAAGGTTCTCCCGAGCCTCGGTTGTTCCTCCTACAGAGCTGTCTCCTGTCAGCTGAAATGTGATTAAATAGAAAACTTGCTGTATAAAAGACTAAGAATGTTGCCAGGCCACGAGAGAAATATTTAAAACAATTGAAAGAGAAATTTAACCAGCAGAGGAATTTTTTTGGAGGTGGGAGGGAAGGGTGGGATGGGATGAGTGGTTGTGAGCGACGGGGAATTTCCTCTGCATGTTCGAGTCCTGCAAAAGCTGTATCCATATGTAGTACCTTTCCCAAATACTATTTATATTGTAAAAACAGAAATGTGTTTCCTCACCCCATACTCAGATGCTGAGTTATGTTGAAACATGAACCTGGAACTGTCGAATGCCCTTCCGAGGTGCAAGGCTTTTCTCTCTTTTTGTTGATTTTTAAAATCCCTCTTTTTTGGTTTAGGAATGACTTGTGCAGATTCAGGATAGTGGCCATACTGATGGCCTCCGGGCATCAGCCTGTTGAAAAGAAAAGAAATGCACATTCCTACCCCTCCCTCCAGTGAAATATATTTGTGTCTTATTATGTGCTATAAAAACAATGATACTTTTTTTCTTTCTCCCCCTAGATTAAGGCTGTGATGTATTTTTTGCCTAATTTTTCCTCTGCCTCTAGGTTCAAAATGAATTAAAAGCTGTTGAGCATTTCACAATGACACTTTTTGGGGGGTTGAAGTCTCTTCATTTCTAAGTTTAAAGTCTTGTGCAGCAGGACGTCGTTGAACCTCCTCAAACAGCATCTTCCTGAAACTTCATTTAAACACCTTAAATTTCCCATCCAGAGCTTTTTGATAAACTCCTCTCCAATTCTTGCAGGATGAGGCTGATGCTGCAGGTTATGTGAAAGAAATCTCCAACTTCCAGTCTTTTGCTGCTTTTTAGTTTTCCTGAGGAATTATCCAGTGGGGAGGAACTCTTGGAATTTACACCCACAAAGGAACTGAAACCCACCAAGCTTTTGGAGGCTGAGCTCTGCTGTGTGATTTTGGAGATTTCTGGAGCTGGGCTTGGGGATGGATCAGGGTGGGATGGGCATTCCTGGGTTCTGCTGCTCCCCAGGGCTGCTCCAGGAGCTGTGGGGCTCCGGGGGGCTCTGCTGACCTGGGCATGGCTCTCGGGGTCTGGGAGTTGAGGTGACCCCAAGAGAGTAAAGTCCCTTTTCTCCCAGCCGTGCAGCCAGGGAAGGAGTCTGGATGCGTAGGATCAGCTTCTCAAGGTTGTTTATTTTCCCTTAGCTGGAACATTCTTTCTCTGATCTGCTGAGCTCTGTCCAGCAGCTCGGCCATGGCATTCTGTCTGCCCTCAGGGTGGTGTTCACATTTTATACTAAAAATTTACAATAATGTGCCAATACCTATCATTTATGTTGGACAGTGTCTCTACCTCAAACCAATAGAAAAGTGTCACCATCACAGCAAGACATGGAGGGCAAGGAGAAGGAGAAGAAGGTCAGGGCACACCCAAATCCCTCCTTCTTGTCCCCTTGAACCCCTTATTTTAAAACCCTAAAATTCTACTTTTTCACCCTGTGTTAATCCAACTACCACACTACTCAAACCCTTGTGGCTTGTAATTCCTCACACAAAGTTGGGAGTTTTTTGAGCCCTCTTACAAAGTTGGCAGCTTTTTCCATGGGCTAAAATCAAAGCCACAGGTGATTTTGACTTGGTGCCAGGCTCTGGAGCCAGCCAGAGGGATGTGCTGGGTTCCCACAGGTGGCAATGCCAGGAGGGCTGGGCTGAGCTCTCACCCCAACCTTGGAGCAGTGCCCGAGTCAGGGGGCACAGGTGGGACCTGCAGGGCTCCCAAAGTTACAGGGACAGAGTGAACAAAGTGCTTGGCACTCCAGGGAAAGATTCCCCAGTGATTTGCTGATCTCCAGCCCCTTTCAGGTCATCTCTTGTTCCTTGTCCCATGAACGACTGTGCTGGCACAGGCACACACAAAAAGGAAGTTTTGGCACAATCCTGAGACTCAGATGAGCTGGAGCTGTTGACACAGAATTATTTGGCAGCTTTGGTAGCAGAAGAAAAGTCCTTGGGTTACTTGCTCACTAATAGAAAATCACTGGGAGTTATTTAATTCTGCATGAGAGCAGCAAAAATTTTTTTTGTTTCCAACAGGGGAAATGTAAAGGTCACTGTGCAAATACTCTTTGGAATTACACAGTGACCACAGCTTAACCACTTTTCCTGTGGAACAAACAGGATTTTGGCTCTGTTTCAGCACAGTTCACTTTGGCTTACCTCTCCACCCCAGCCTTGCCATTTCAGATGCCAGCTGCTAATATCCCCCAGCAATCGAGCTCGCAGCCAGCCTGTCTCTGAAACAGGAGTGATACCCTCCCCTGTGCCCCAGATCAGAGTTTAAAATAAAGAAGTGGCCAGATCCACTGCTCATCTGCTTCATTTAACAGAGCCATCTCTGGAAAATGCAGCAAATTGTCTTTGATTAGGAGTGAATGGTCAGTTACCCCTGATCCAGGCCAAGATGCTGCTGCCTGGAGAGGAGCAGGGATTCATCTGCCTGGCTGAAGAGATGAAGCTGAGTTGATTGGAGATGCAGAAGGGTTGCTGGGCAGTTTTCTCTGTGGAGAAGCCACAAGGTGGGAGAAGAGCTCTGGTGCAATCTGATTTTTCTCGTGGCTCTGCTTAGAGCTGAGCTTTCCTTCTCTTTGTCACCTGAATAGCTCAGAGCCACTTGGAGCTGGGGACGTGGTGTGCCTGGTTAATCTGGGATTCAGCTCTGACATGGAATTAACGCTGCAATCCAGGAGCTTTGTGGCCTGGGTTGGGTGATTAGTGTGAGATTTTTGTCAGCACGAAGTGAAAAATCTGCCTGAGCACAACTGGGTGAGATCCCTCTGCTTGGGGATGGGCCTGGGCTACAGGAGCAATTTATCATCACATTTTTTCACTAATTCAGCTTAGAGACAATTGGCTGCTTGTTAAATGCTGTGATTTCTCTCACTTCTGTGATACTCCCAAATCAAGCACTTGGTCCATTTTATCCAAATAAATTTCCCTGCAGTTTTTCTCAGAAGTGAGAAATGTCCTCGGGATTTTTCCTGGTTTCAGGTGTTTGTGACATGGAGCTGGTGGAGCTCTGCCCTGAGCAGCAGCAATGACAGGTCCTGGCACAGGGTCCCCAGAGCATCTGGGGCTGCCCCTGGATCCCTGGAATGCCCAAGGCCAGGCTGGAGGAGCTTGGAGCAGCCTGGGACAGGGGAAGGTGTCCCTGCCATGGCAGGAGTGAGTGAGATGAGAGACAAAATTTGTTAAAATTCGATTTTCCTGTTGGTTTTCCTCTCCTGATTTACACCTGGATACAGTTGAGCAAAAACCACCCCTGAGCTGAGAAGTTTTTGTTGTACTGAGATGTGAAGAGTTTTGGGCTCAGTCTGGGTGTGAGGGCAGAGTGAGCTCAGGCTGGGAGCTGCTGTGGCACAGGGGTGGCACAGGGGTGGCACAGGGGTGACAACACCTCCAGCACTGCACCTGGGACCTGCCAGCCTGGGAACAGGGACAGCCTGTCCTGGGAGCTGTGTGTCCTGCTGTAGCTTCCCAGCACTGATGTTCCTTTTCCTTTTCCCTTTCCCCTTTTGTCTTTTTCATGATCCCTTTTGTCTTTTCCCTTTTATCTTTTTCCTTTTCCTTCTCCCTGTTCCCTTTTCCTTTTTCCCTTTTCCCCTTTTTCCTGTTCTCTTTTTCCTTTCCCTGTTTTCTTTTCCCTTTTTCCCTTCCCATTCCCCCTTTTCCCTGTTCCCTTTTCCTTTTCCCCTTTATCCCTTTTCCCTTTTCCCTTTTCCCTTTCCCCTTTCCCCCTTCCCCTTTTCCCTTTTCCTTTCCCTGCAGTGCAGCCTCTCTGTGCCCCTTCCCAGGTCCATGGTTATAAGCTGCTTATTCTCCTGCCATCCTCCTCCTCCTCCTTATTTTTATATCAGTGCTCAGTGGAGGAAGTTTTTCCTTTTGTACAGCTTTGCTTTTAATTGAACAGCTCTGCTTTCCTGGAGAAAACTGCCAATAGGCTCTCCCAGCTGCTTTGTTCCTACTCCATTTCTTTCCTCAGGATTTGACTGCACTGTGTAGGGAGAGGAGGAAGAAAATTTTTCCATGAGCAGGCTGCCAGTTCAAGAAGCTCCTGGTGGTTCCCTCAGGGCTTCCTCCAGTCCAGAGCAAGGAAAACAAATTAAAACTGAGGTGGTGGAACCCACCAGAACATTTCACACTTACTTTGGTGATTTATTAACTCCAGAGTAGATTGGGAAAATTTATGGCATTGTGTTTTTGTGTTGTTGGAGCATCCTGTGTGCATAATTTGGGGTAAGAGTAATTCCTGTGTGATAAAGGAATAAAAAACCCACAGTGAAGTCAGGCTTGTGCCCTGGAAATGGTTTAGTCTCTGCTAGAACACAGTGAAACAGGATAATGAGGAAAATAATGGGAAATGTGGTTTGCTGTGTAATCACTGGCCTCTGGAGATTTTTTTTTTTGGTGACTCAGCAGAGACAGAAATGAAAACTTGAGGCATTTGGCCACTGCCAAGGTCGTGGCTGTTGCTCTTACAGCAGGATTTGAAGTTTCACAATAAATCTGGGGCAAAAAGAAGGAGAATTCCAAGGTGTTTCTGGTACCCTTGGCTGCCTGCACACAGGGACATGGGACTGGAATGGGATTAGGGATGGGTACAATTATTCCAAGTGCTTCATTTCTTTGAGGTGATTATTTGTTTCCAAGTCAGCTCTGCCCTGCTCTGCTTGGCACTTCCAAAAAAGGGGATTAAAATAAACCAGGGAAGTTTTTGGTGCTGTGGATGTTTGGGGTCCATCTCAGCTGTTTCTGAGCTGCTGCCCTGATTTTTAAAAGTGTTACATTTTCTTTTATAGTTCTTTTAAAAGTTTTAAAGTTCTCATCAAACTTCTTTAGCCTTCTGATCATGTTTACATGTTTCTACTGGAGTTGTCAG